CCCCCCCCCCCCCATTACAAACAAGAGTATTTTTTTTAAAGGGAAGTAGTTGTGGAAAGATGAAAGATTTAATTGAAACAAAACTGTGATTCAGTTAGAGAAGAGAAAGGTATATAGCCTTATTGGTCTTCAGTAAGGTAAAAGGAAGGGTGAATTTGCACCTTGTAGACTAACTAAATCAATACATAAAAGAAGCTTTCGTGCACAGTGGATGATGCATCTGATATAACTTATGTTATCTCATGATGAAGTAAGCCTGCTGTTTAAAACTGCTTATGCTATGCATCTACTCGAGTATAAGATGACCCCACCCCAATAATTGCACTTTCTATGTGGAAAATTCATAAATTTGTTACAATTTTCCAGGAATAGAATCTAATTATTGGAGGTTTGCTTTGAAGTTATCCCCCTCCCACTGCTACAGCAGGGAAAATAAATCCGAGGCATCTTGCCCTCTTCCCTAACCCTAACCCCTTCCCCCCTCCTTGCTGTCAGACCCTGCTCTTCCTGAGCACATGGAAGTGAGAAGCAAATTTGAAAATGCTGACCTCAAAATAAACGGACCTGTGGTAATTTGCATATAGTACCAATAGACGTAATTCATGAAGAAATGATGCATCATACCTTTTTTTGAAACTGCTGCAAGTTTTAGCACAGGCACTCCATAAGCATACCTTTAAGCAGCACTTTTGTATTTACTTATATTAGTACAAAGTTCTCAAATTTTTCAAGGCCACATAAGGTCCAAATTCTGTTGGGCAAAGCCCAATAGTCAAGTTCCAAAATTTGACTGAACATGGCTCAGTTGTCAAGTCTGCGTACCTCTACCACTGGGCAAATATTTTCCATCCCAGACCCATCTGTCTGGAGCTTTGCATACTCCCGAAATCCAGGCAGGCATCCTGTATGAAAGGCCGTGGGGTTTAAACCCCCCTGTCTCCTTGTCTCCAGAAGGCTGTGAAGTAAACAACCTTTTTTTCCCCCTTTCAAGGGCCAAATCAGTTCCAAATTCTGTTTGGCAAAACCTAATAGTCAAGTTCCAAGTTTTGACTGAGCAGAGCTCAGTCATTCAAGTCTGTGTGGCTGTACCTCTGGGCAAGTATCCTCCTTCTCAGACCAATCAGTCTGGGGCTTCAGATACTTCCCAAATCTGTCACAGACATCCTACATGCAAACACAGGGCGTAGGGACCCTGCGGTGTGATTAACCCCTTGTCTCGCTTGCCAAGGGGAAGCAAGAAAGCAGTCTTCCATTGACACACAATTGTGCAGCTGAGTTTCCTGCATTTGGGGAAACTCACAGGGGTCAGCCTGTCCAGAGTGCAAGGGACAGCCTCACTCTACTATACTTGGTCATACCAAGGTCAATTCCAAATCCTTTGAATCGTTCAAGAACCATATGTAGCCCTACTACTAGCAAGTATCCTCCACCCCAGACTTTTCAGCCAGGGATTTCGGATGCTTCCAAATCTTTTGGCAGGCTTCCTACGTCCAGGCCCAAGCCCGGAGCCTTGGAGTTTGGATGCCCCCAGGTTTCACTTGCCCTCAGCCATATTGCTGCAGGAGCAAGGTAGAGAGGAATCTCCCATTTCCATAAAGTTGGCATTTAGCTGAGATCCTCCTACTGGAAGCTAGCCAGCAGGAAGCTAACTGTAGGGAATCCTGTCTACAAGCAGACAAGGGTGCACCCTCCACTACAGAGTGCCATTTTAATTTCACTACTTTGGTCATGGTATTTTCCTGCCACTGTGCTTGATAGTAGTCCAAAGCCAAAAATATCATGGTTTACATATTGTTGATTGGGCTGGGCCTCAGCAGAAACAACAGCATTTCAAGCAATGGTGACCCTATAGTTCAGCATTGCTCAGTTTGTGTATGTACTCCATATAGCCCCCACCACCCACAAACGATCCACGTGCTAATTAGCCCCTCACTCATGACTGGAACTGCATGCTATTGTCACAGATCCTGGAATCTTCAATTTTTTTTGATGAAGATGAGGTGCAGGGCAACCAGCTGAGAAGTCTGGGGTGGGGGATACTTGCTTGTAGTAGGGCCACATATGGTTTTTGAATGATTCAAAGGATTTGGAGCTGATCTGGCTAATTTGACCTGGTACATGTAAATTTAAAAAAAAAGGTGTGTTCCTTTTTAAAGGCAGGCAAGACTAGGGGGTATCTAAACTCCAAGACCTCCAGGCTTCGAGCTTGGACTTGGGGTGTCTGCCATGGATTTGGGAGTATCTGAAGCCCCAGCCTGATGAGTCTGGGAGGTAGAATACTTGCTGATGGTAGCAGCACACAGACCTGAATGAATGAGCTCTGCTCGGTCAGAAGAATTCAGAACTGATTTGGCTGAGTTGTCCCAAGACATGAAATTTCAAAAAACAGTAAAACTTTACTTGGTGTAAGAGATCCCATGATCCTCTCAGCTGATCAAGTGTAGAGTGAAGCCTACCCTTGCACTCTGGGCAGACTAATACCTGCATGCTTCCCTGATTTTGTGGTACTTTGGGACTGAGTTTTTGCTTTCCCTGAGATATTTGCTCCTTGGCCTTTTGACTAAGAGTAAGCAACGTTAAGGGCATTCAAACTCCAAGGCCTCCAGGCTTGAGACTTGCACGTAGGATGCCTGCCTGGATTTGGGGAGCATCCAAAGCCACAGACTGAAGGGTCTGGGAGTGGGGCTACTTGCCCAATGGTAGAGCCACACAGACTTGAATGATTGAGGTCTGTTGAGTCGAAACTTGGAACTTTGCTATTTGGCTTTGACCAATAGCATTCAGAACTGATTTGGCCCTTGAAACAAAATTTTTAAAAAAATCAGCATGTTTGCCCAGTATGGACCATGTATGTATTTTAGAGTTATGCTCTGTGTTGGCTTTGTTTAATCAACTTCATAGTTGTTTTCCATTACTAAGCATATGCTGCTTTTGGCAGCAGTTAAATGATAAACAAATAAAATAATAAATGATGAAAACAGATAGGAACAGTAGTGCAAAGACTTTGTATAGAAAATAAATATAAGCTTCTAAGTAGGCCTGTGCGGAGTGGCAAATATTCACTTCGGATTCAGCTGATTCAGAGGGACGGTGATTCAATTTGGTGATTTGAATCACTGTCCTGATTCGATTTGGCCAGTTCGGATCCAAATATTTGGCACCGATTCAGAAATTTAACCATAGACTGAACAGGCAGCAGTCCTCACCACAATGGACACAGCTGCCTCTAGCTGGTAAGTCTGCTGTGGTGGGCAGAGTAGGGAGGGAAGGGGAATGGATGGGGGCAGATCAACACCCCCATAGTGAGGCAGGGATTGGGTTTGGGGCTGGGTCAAGCTGCTCAGCCAGGGTGGGGGTGTGCGGGGTGCCGGGGAGTGGGGCTCCTGCCACTGCACCCCACCACGTGCCGCTGGTCTGTGAGGGCATGGGAGCGGGAGTGTGCTCCCAGATATTTGTGGGGTAGGCTGAGCTGGGCTGCACTCCAGACAGGCAGCGGAAGACGCTGGGAATGGGGTCTATGCCCTCCTGCCGCTCGCGCAGCCTCCCTGTGCCTCCCAGACATGCTGTGGCTTCACCCCAGCTGGGTGAGCAGTGGCAGGGCACGGTGATGGGCGTGTGCACCCGGATCAGGGTGGGGCAGGGGCAGGGGCTATGGGGAATTTTAGGGTGGCTGCAGCCCTCCCATAGCCCCTGCTCCACTGCACTCTGTAGGGCAGGCAGAGCCAGGGCTGTGCTCTGGGCTGCAGCTGGGGCTGGCTGCCAGGAGCACAGCCCTGGCTCCACCTGCCCCACTAAGTGCCGCCCAGTGGCAGGCGGCTGAGGCTAGCCTCCTGCAGTGCAGCCTGGCTCAGCCCACCCTTTGCACATACAGGAGCACACACCTGCTCCCTTGCCCCCCCCCAGATCAGCAGCACGCAGTGGCAGGAGCCTCCCTCCCCAAGTTGTCCTCCCCCCGCCCTGGCTGTGCAGCTTGACTCAGCCCCATCCCCAATCCCTCCCTCGCTGTGGAGGTGTTAATCTGTCCCCCCACCCACCACTTCCCTTCCCTTCCTCTCTCCTCTGCCCACCACAACAGACTTACCAGCTGGATG